GCAGTTCGTTTTGCCAGTTGGACTTGTAGAAGAAGACGACGTTGAGTTCGAGCCAGTGGACTTCTTGGACGGCGCGCAGTTCGGTGAGGATGTTGGTTTGGTACTCGCGTTGCTCGGCGGTGACGAATTCGAGGAGCACGTTGCGGAGCTTTTCGATTTGCTCGAGCGTTGTACCGAACTTGATGATGATGGGGATGGCTTCGGCGAGGGCACCCGACCGACGGTGGTTAAGGATGAAGAGCGTGTTGAGGTAACTGTTGGGCGCTTGGACAACGTGACCTTGCATCTTCTTGAACTCGGTGTAGAAGAGAGCGATTTCCTTGACGAAGTAATCATCACCGCGGCCGAGATCTCCGGTGTTACCGTAAATCATGACACGGTCACCGACATCGTAGGGGTGCTTGACGAAGACGAAAATGCACGACTGCAGGAACTCCTGAGCGGTTGCGGAGAAGAGCCAAGATAGAGCCAGAAGGGTCGAACCAGCGGATGTTAGGACACCGGCGGCGGAGGTGGAGATCAGCGAGATGAACACGATGATAGTGATGATCAGCACTATGAACATGAAAACATCGTCGAGCTTGGAGACGACGCTATCGAGATCCTTCAGGGAGGCGGTAATAGACTTGCGTTCACGGCCAATCTCGACGCAGACAGCTTCGAGTTCCTCCATGGAGATATCGCCGTTCATGTCCTTGTCAAACATGGAGAATGCGGCAGTGGCTTCCTCGTCGCTGTCGAAGGCATTGTTGAGATCCTCGGAATGAACAGTTTCGGTCTCAGGTCGCGCAAAGGTACGGTAGAGACGGCGAGCCAGAACCTGAGCGCCGCTGGTAGTACCAATGAGTTGCAGAACAACCTGGTGAGGATGGCCACTGCCAGTAACCGCACGACCGGTGAAGTCCCCAGCGACCTTTCCAGCGATGTCTCCAAACTTGTTGAAACCGACTTTGATGTTCTTTTGCGCCTCTGTGAGAACCTGACCGGGAGTGCGCGCGCCCGATGGAGCATTGTCGTCGCCCTGCTCAAACTCGGAATCTTCCATGGCAATCTTCTCCTTGGAAAACCTGTACAGCTTCGCCAAACTACCAATCTGGAACTTGTTCAGCTCAATACGGTCCTGGTAAGTTCGCAGGTGGAAGCTGATGGCGATGAGTTGGATAATGATCTTCTCGATGAAGTTGAGCACGAATCCGACGAAGAGAGCTACAAGGACCTTGTTCATGGTGCCTTCCCAGTCGCGCGTGTTCTTGTCGCCGTTGACGTGGTGGTTCTTCATTGTTGGGAGGAAAGATACTTCAATGGCCAACCACCAGAAGAACAAAGTAGCTGGAAGTTCGAGTTGCTTGCCCATGTCTCTCCACTTCTTGCTGTTGTTCGTAAAGAGGGAAGAAATGAGACCAATAGGCCACGGGAGGAGTTTCGCGAGTACCTGCGATGGATGTTAGTGGTTGTAAAACTAGGAAGACGGAGATACTTACTCTTCCAGCCCACAGTGTCAGCCACACAATCATTAGCCAGATTGAGAACCAGACAAGCTTGACGCCTCCAACGTTCGCATTGGGGAATGCAAATATGCCAACCATCAAAGGAATGAGGATCAAGAGCACCATGGGCGTGATGTACGTAAAGTACCTAACAAGCCATGATGAGTTGTGAACCTTCTTGAAGAACTTGGAGAAGCTTGTGGTCGGGTTTTCGGGTGGCGTATAGCGAGCCGCTTGTTCGTGCAATGGGTTCGTCGCCGCGTCGAAGTCGTCTACGAGGTCTTCACGGCGGGATCGCACGCGCGTCATGGATGGGTTCATCGACGCGTTGCGCCTAAGAGCCTCCTTCTCATCCAGACCCTGCTCAATGGCGAGCACTGCAAGGTCATCGTTGAGCCTGCTCGCCTGCTCACGCGTTTGCGACGGTGACTGTATGCCCTTCATTGCTGGAATATCATGTGCGGTTTCGACGGTAAGGTGGGTGCCAGATCGTGATCTGTTGTGCGGTGGCCGTGCGGCAGTATCTACACGCAATGGCCGCTGATGATCGTCCCCCACAACTGTGCCGTCCTCGTCGGAAGATCGCTGCTGGTGGTGGGACATGTTGCTGTCCATGTCGTATGTCGGCTCTGGCCGCTCATAATTTGGTGTACTCATAGTGGAGAGTCGCGCCCGAACCAAGGTTCGATAGGAAGTCCGATCGAAAAGCTACCTTGGGAGAGCGATGAGGTAGCGACTGTGTTTTGATTTTGCGGCGATTTTTTGCAGATAACGCAAAATGCGATTGCTGAAACAATGGTATGCTTTTTTACGCCAAACCAGCAGTCAATGGCTTGCGCTCGCCCTTCCGGTGGTCCAGGGTCAAACGCGAACTGCTGCAACGGGATGACGTCAAGCTCGGTGCCGACGTATCCAGAAAATGTTTTAGCGAGTGACGAAGAAAAATGGCGTGTCCTGTAGTGATTAATGTGCGATAGAGGTGGTGAGAAAAGAGAAGACAACACTGTGGGATGGACAGCAGCGATGTTAGCAAGTGAGATGTGGAGCTCGCCCGGGGTTAAAGGAGCAGGAGCAGCGCTGGGCCAGGGATTATTTTTGGGGACTCCCGATCTGCGATTCCTGAAATTCGACGCCAACCCTTCGACAGTGACTGGCGCATAGAAAAATGGGTCATGGAACCGACGGCGGACGTGTTATGGCCATGGCAAGCACACCGGGTGGGCCGCGTCGCTTTGTCTAGAATCTCTGTTGGGACCGAATCTGGTACACAAAGCTGTAAGGATACGCGTCTGCGCCAACCACAGCCATCGAATATACTAGAATGGCCCTCGACCACGCCTGCGGCTATCTATCTCGGTCGAAAATGCCATGACAGCGGCGTCGCATACGCCGTTAGGTCTGCCAGCACAAGCTCTTAGCGACAGCCACCGACGTCACGCAGCATCGCAATGCAGGTCCCGGACGCTTCCTGTGTCGGTCCCTCAAAACTCTGCAAAGTGTGTCTATTTTGAGCGTCTGCACAGTCGATGAAGGTCGCGCGACAGGGCGAAAGTTGGAGAGAGGTGCGGCTCGGCCGCCCAGTCGGTCGTGACGCGTTCTAACTTTCTCAACCGTTGTTCTTTATCGCCTTTCACATGCCTAGGAAGCCTTATCCTTAATTTCCAGGGTCATTGCCGTTATCGCGGAAGGCTGTTTCAAACCGCCCGCGGCGTTCGAGAAAAGCTTGTCGCGTGCCGATCCTAATGCCGCCCCTGCATACCAAGGCTCTCCTTGGATCGCGTCGTGGGGGTCAGGATCGATGCACAACACTGACAGCACCAGAGATCTCGACTCCAGCGTGTCAGCGTCCAGACCCGCTGTATCGCACTGTCTCCATCTTTCTCCCCAGATGTGATCCGACGATGTGCGCAGGATGAGCATTCCCTGTGCTGCATCAGTTCCAGACATCGGATAAGGCGGCAACTACCTCACACCTCGTCGTTGCACCAATTTAACGACATGGCGGACGGAAAACACTCCACAGCGTCTCCATATTGACGAGTCGTGATTTCAGCAGCGGACGTGTCCTCGCAGGAAGAAGTCTAAGCGATACGTCCTCAGCAGTTGTGGTGGAGGAAGGCCGCTCGGCTCGTACAAAGCCCGATTTCCGCCTGTACTAAACGTGGTGGGTCGCTCTGCAGTATGTCATAACCCGTATCCTGTGCGGAAGCGTCTTTGGTAACCTGCCGTGATGTAAGGTAGAACAACTCTTAGTGCACTACGTCAGAGCAGCATTTTTCCAATTGATCGCCGCGGAGCTTTTGTTGCGGTGTCGACTTGGGTGCTTCAAGATTAGTGAACGGATGATGGCTAAGGACCTCACACCAACCCGTGGACCCTTGAAGACATCATGACCAATTAAGAATCAAAGAGGTATGCATTAGATCTTCTCTTAGAACACGGCTATGGTTATCTCTGCTCCCAATGATGATCGATATACTATATTCGCCATATACGCATTCGACATGTACGTATTCGATATATACGTATTCGATAGCTGTGTATGTTGCGAAAGAGCATGCAAAAAAAACCCCCATAAGACAAGTGAACAGTATAAACTATGTACGGCATCACATCTAATGGGAGATCCTGTGGGCTGCTCGAGAATATGATATGCTTGTTCGCTGTCGTTAAAGGAATTGTTGCATTCAATGGTCAAATGCCATGGCTTCCCGAAGCACTATTGTCCCGTGCAGTATGGGACGATACACTACTACATCAGGCAATATCCGGCTTCCGTCGATTGTAGCGTCCCTGTCTGTGAAAAGCAAAACTCTCGTAGTAGTCCAGTTCAGGGTAAAATTGGCGAGGGAACCCTCTGCACCCAAAATTCGCAGCAATCGATGGACGTGAGACAACTGCCTATCTGAGCATGCATTCATTCGGTCTGCTTTTAGTTTGAGTAATGAATGGACAGGCAATGTTTGAAAAGGCGTAAAAAGTCGCAGTACCGCGGTGAAGTGGATAAGAAGAGCCCGCAGCACAAGAGAAAGCCGAAGGACGAAATGAAGCTCACGTCCTTCATCCTACATTCTGCTGAAATCTACACCTTAGCGAACCTTCCCGATTGGGCATGAAGTAATTATGTTTACAAACCTCATGTCTATAGAAGATCGATTCGGGTCGGAGAAGACAGGAGTCTGCTAGATACACTCACTGCACTGTACTATAAGAGAGCGGGAAGGTGAACATTGAGGAGTGAGGTGAGCGGACTCCATTCACACCTGCTACAATCCACTCTCACAGTTTATTACCCAATGCAGTAATCGTGAACTTACAAACCTTATATATTTTGAAGCATGTAGGAGTAGAGGCGAAGGAAATGTTGTGATGTTGCTGGAGTCTCTGCTCGTCCCGATCGGGCTAAAGTCGCGAGCACATCACGTCATACCAGAACGAGGAAGGCGCGACGCGAGCTCTCAGATGCGCATCTTCCCCGCAAACTCTCTTGACTTTTGCAACCACACAGTCACAATGTTCAGCCTACCGAGAATATCACTGCCTTCTTTTCTTCGCGCCGGCGAAGGCACGCATCTCACCGTCGACCTCCCCTCCGTAGAAATCCACGACATCGAGACCTCGGCAGAGAAGCGACCGCGAACTCTCAAGCACCTACTCAAAGCGAACCACGCCAACTACGCAATCATATACCACAATCTCACTTTTCACAACCATACACCGCACGTATGCTGCTCCTCCTGTAAAGGCTGTAGCTGCTAAGCATGTACCCTAGATCCTGGGATCGGCTTACCTTCTGGGAGGCACCGCAGAGCATCTGAACGAGATCTACGAAAGAGAGGCGGAAGTGCTGGAACCTTGGCATGATGCGCCTGGTGAGATAACAAAGGACGACTGGCGAGAGTTTCTGGGGAAGCGCGAGTAAGTAGCTGCATGATGGTGCGATTCAACAGGATCAGGGTCAGTCGCTAATGGGCAGCCAGATACCAACGCGCATTCATTGATTTCTTCGAGGATCAGCTCGTGAGCAAGAAGTACGATGTTGAGGAAGTTCTTGAGGAGTTCTTGCTCAAGGGCAAAGAACCGCTGATCAACGGCCTCATTTCAGGACGTAAGCTTGCGCTCTTCCGAAGCCCGAATATCGCTAATCCCATGCAGTTGCGCATCCTCTCATTCATCTCGGCTACGCTTACGAGCTCAACTCCACGACCGTTGCGATCGAAGCCCTAGCGATGGGCTCTTGCTTCTACAGTCCGCTCCATAAATACATCGACGATCCAAAATACACGAAGCCCAGCCCTCACGAGGCGACTGGGAACCACACCGGGCTCATCGATTTGTTGGACAAGGTGCGGAAGGATAAGCGCTTCGATGGACTGTACGATCACCGTAGCGGCGATATCACGAAAGTGCTAGAGGAGCGTGAAGAAGCCTTTCTGGAGTACTGGAATGCTTGGGAAATTACTGCCCCGAACGAACAGTTCCAAGCTGCTCAGGAGGTCGGCTTGGGGCTTTTGACTGGAACACCACGACCGGGGAAGGGAAAGTACGACTTCTTCCTTGTACATGTGCTTACAAGCTCTCACGCTGTTCGCATCCTTCTCCCGTTGATACCGGCCAAGTTCCATGTCAGTCTTCTACGGCAATGGTGGCTGTTCGCGCTAGCTGTATACATTGCCCAGACGAGGCCAGAGATCGATATGGGTAAAGCGATGACTGGTGACGACAGCCAGAAGAAGACTTGGAAGCATGTTGTGGACAAGGCCTTGAACGGACCACATTCGACTGATGCGCATTACGTCAAAGGTATGTTACGAGCCTCTTGCCGAACCGCGGTGTTCTTGACTGACATGGCGCAGCATTGCGTGCGTTGAAGGTAGCGGAGGAGACATGGGAAAAGGGTAGTGACAAATCAAACCACTGGCTCAGTGCAGCAGTCAAGTTCGCGGACGAGTTTGAGGGCTGGGGAGGGTTTGGAACAGCGGAAGACGAAGCAAAGATGGGATATCCTGAGAAGCAGTGAGGTTTACTATGCAGAATGGGAAAGATGATGTATGCGCAGGTCTCGTTTCATGGAAAGTTCCTACCTAGGTAACCTGCTTGACGGTGACGCGTTCACGTGGTTTGATGTGAAATCGGCACGGAACTGATCATTCATCACTTGCTGCCTGTTGTCTGCTGACTCTATCTCCTGGCGACGGCCCACATCATTACCCATAGCACGCAATACACTCCGGCACCTGACAGCAAGGACTACCTACTTCTCTCCTCTGGAAAAACCAGGAGTACCAGCCTCCGCCATTCAACTGCATTCAACTGTACAATGGACGCGCATCCCTCTACCACCATCCCAGCTCTATGCACTCAATACAAAATTTACTGGCGAGATTGCGACCACGAGTACAGCAACGTCGGCGATGTAGTCCCTTGCCAAGCAGCTGCGAACAACCTCCCATGTGCATGTAGGACAAATCTGAGAATCGTGCGCGACACGACTACCTCTCGAGGCATAGATGGTCATACTAGAGTGCTGAGTGATGGAACTGAGACTGGGTTTTGCAGGCCATGTAGATTGAGCAATGAGAGAGAGAGGAAGAAGGAGGCCAAAAAGGTGAAGAGGAAGGTGAGCAAGGCAGAGAAGGGTAAGAAGGTAGACGGCGGTAGCAAAGTCAGTGGAATGGATGGTGAAGGTAGAAGCCGATTCGGAGGTGGGTTTGGAAGAGAACGGAATGTTAGAGTGGAGAAGACGTATGTCAAAGTGGATGGAGGTGGGTTTGGGAGTAAAGATGACTGGGACGTGGGGATGCCGCCGAAGACGATTAAGCAGTACCAAATGGATCTGGAAATGCTCAAGGAGAGCATTGGGACGGGTACCGGGAAAGCGATGAGTTTGTGATGGGGGTCTAGTGTGGTGTGGTAGTTTGGTAGCTGGTAGAGAGGGGATTAATGGTTCGATATGTAAGGGTCCTCGTTGGCTAGCCGAGCATGGAACCATGGTTAACGTCCTCGCTTTTCGAATATATTTTCTATCTCAACTTGTACATAAGAAAGCATCGTCGCAAGCATTTCACTCGCTTCTTACATTTTATCCACACATACAACAGCAACATTACCCCAAGACGATTTCGCAACACAGACTTAGAAGATGTCCAACATGTCACTCCAACCACTGTGCCCAACGCGCCCACAAGCGATTCAGGTAGATCTCACCATGACACGAGAGCTCCTCCGCGTCCTGTCTCGCGGTGGAAACGGCCATCCTCTCCACCACGACTCCTTCTACCAGTCCATCTACCTATCTAGCGCGATGGCCTCACAACTTCGTTACGATTGGCCAGTCCTCCAGGCTCGCGCGCTCGCCCCTCTCTTCCTCAGTCTCAAACAGAGATATGAATTACAGGCGAGGCACTACCGAGCTTGGAGGATGTTGGTCACCAAGGGCCTTGCAACGGAGGAAGCGATTCGTCTTCCGATTGATGAGCGCAGTTCGGTGAATAAGCCTGCGGTTTGGAGGTTGCTTGATAGACTCTCTGCTTTCCCGAAGTTTGGGGCGGTAGATATATTGGAGGTGGGAGGGTTCAAGTGTCGATGCCGGAGTGGCTCTGGAATTGCATTGGCGTTGAAAGAAGAGAGGCGAGATGTGTTTGTGCAGCCAGGGTACTGGTTTGCGGCGGTGGTATTGCGGTCAAATTGCGATATTGAGAGTGTAATGGACGCACTGAAGATGTGGGGTGGGTTTGGAGAGTGGGATGCGGGCCATACATGCTATGTGCCTGATGAGAAGTTGAATGAGGAGCGGGTATATGTTGAGAAGGTCGAGAAAGAGGAAGACAGCCTTGAAAGAGGTAATATAGGTATACTGTTCGGAGAGGAGATCGAAGAGACAGAGGAAGAGGTAGAGGAAGAGGAAGACAACGATGTTGAGCATACCGAAGATATCGACAAGTTATCTCGACTACAAACCGACATCGACAGTGAGGGCGAAACTTCCACAGGCATCGAAACACCGCCTTCGACAACCGAGGAGCTTGTAGATCCTACACTCACGCTGTCACCCATACCGACACCAACGGATCCCTGCCCAGAACACTGTCCCTCCCGCCGGCGTCGCCTCCGCGATGACGTCCGCAATCCGAAATATCCATCGTGTACATACCACTGCCACAATCCACATGCTCCTTTCGAATTCGAGCCAAGCGGCGAGCAAGTTGGTTTCTGGCTTCCTCATGGACTGCAAAATACACAGGCACGGAAAGAGTGGGCAGTGGCGACTAACAAGAGAATGAGGGACTTTAGGATGGCATGGAGAAGTCTGTTTGGGAATGACTGTGCGGGTGTAAAGGCTAGTATTGAGGTTCAGCGGTGTGCGTGGGATTTCGTTAGAACGGATTATGGGTATGGTGAGCGGAGGAACTGAAAAGCTGCTTCTGAGGTGGTTTACGTATGTAATGAGTCGTAGAATACGATAATTGAATGTCACGCAATATGGTTCGGCCTGAGTATGTGTTACCTAGTGTTCAGTCCACTAGAAAACCTATCCAAGGTTGCATGACGAACTCCTCGTCCGCATCAAGACTCTCAATTCAGGCGAGATGTTTGCAGCTACCGATCGAAGAATATCGAAATCGTTAAGTATCTCGGGTAGAGTGCTAAATGGAGAGACTCCCGAGGTCGATTCGGAGCTCGGTAGCGCGTGGCATGGCCGGCCGCCTGCAGAATTTATCCGCCGGACATGAACGCTGTTGTGTAAATTCACACCCTGCTAGGATGTGCCGATGTGGTGGTTCAAAAACGTCTCATGGTGTATCGTAGTACTCAATCGCTCTTGCACCCAGTGCCATGCAGCGCGTTGCCCCTCGCTGTGCTCTAGCTCAATTAGTGTCTTGGCGTCAAGTCATCATCACTTGGGCCGAGTTCCCATCCCCAGTCTCAACTCGCCCTTTGCAACACCCATCTCAACATCTGTATACCATCATCGCCAGCATTACCTAGATATACATGGAATATCTACCGGTGGCTCGATCCGGTCTTGTGAAAAGGAGCGTGTCCCTCCGTTCAGCCGCAAGCCAATCAGCCATGTCGCCAGGGTATGGGTGCAGTCGCAATCTCAAGAGGCCTGCTTTGCGAAGTCGAAGACCCTCGCTTTCTGACAGGCGAGCGTCACGCCATCGCGTTACAGGCGAACAGAGGCTTTTGTCCGACTAACCGACAAGGAAAACCTAACTCCAATGATGCGGACCGCTCCCGGCACTGCTTTAGTCTGAAGATCACATCCCAGCCTCGCCTTAAGACTTGATACTTCCTGCATACTTGATCAAACCTGTATTGCGCCCCGATGCTTTGGGTAATCGCCGTCTAACCTAACTACTGGAGTCGAGCAGCCGTTCAACAAGCGGCGCGCAACTTGAACCACCTACGGATCAGTCAACTCCTGAGACAACGCCGTACACGTGGCTGTGTTGGTGTGCCCACTCCACACCAGTTGCAGCACACGTACGCAACCACAACAATAGGCCACATGCTGTGCCCCTTCGAGCTCTCCGCGAGATTGTAAGGCTGCGCAGGCAGTTTCTCGACTGCTTCAGCAGAAACACACGAGGTATCGAGCGTTGTGTGAGGTAATAAAAAGCTCTTTTAGCCGGCATGCCAGCCGCTTTATGCTCAACGCGACATTGCCACCATGGTTTCCCAACTCCTATACTTTTGCGCAGCTGCATGTGGCACAGCTCTGTTGTGCTACTCATCACGAGAAGAACCGCACTGTCGGGTTCGTACCTGATACGTTCGCCCTGCTTCTTGCTACCCGCGCCGCTCACCCCACATTCCATACAACATGTCCGTTCTCGCAGTAGTCGTCGATCGGCCTCTGCTCAACAGCCTTTCTAGCGTATGTCTAAGACTATGTATCAAGTCATTTTGTCGGACTTGAATTGGACGCCCATCGTTCAGATCATCACTTGGTTCACTCTCGTCACCAGCCTCCTAGCGTTCTTAACGCATGCCGGCATCAAATTCTACGTGTTTCGAACATTGACTATTGAGTCATGGCTCGTACTTGCATCCCTAGTAAGTCAAGCATCAACATACTCAGCAACATTTGCTAATGAATATTGCCAGATATTTTGCGTCGCACAATCTGTCGCGGTATTGCTGCAAGCACACTACGGCTTCGGGAAGCCGATCGCGTCTTTGAATGGATATCAGATTGAGTCGAATCTCAAAGTAACCTCCTACCTCCGCTTGAGTACCTGGTCCGGAGCGCTGATATGAGCGAAGAGCGAATACGCCGCAATGATACTCTTCGTTGTCTCCCTCGGCTTCTCGAAGCTTGCTGTCGTAGCATTCGTCCATCATCTGACTCCATCCGAACTCCACCGCAGAATCAACTTCGGCGTCTTGGCTCTTATAATCTTATGGCTGGTTTGTTCTGTGTTGGTCGCAGCATTCGAGTGCCGGCTGCCCCGGCCATGGGATAGAACATTGGATCGATGCATCGACCGTGTCAGTAATCAACGCAGATGCGTAGTCGGCTTCTGGCTGACGTTAGGCAGTTGACCTGGTGGAATACCGTCTCATGCTTCAATATCATGACAGAGCTCGCGATCGTGGCCTTGGAATTGGGCATAACAGCGCAACTTCACATGCGACGGCAACGGAAGGCGGCGGTCATGGCTTTGTTCTCATGTCGGTTACTGTGAGTACGAAGCCCTACAGGTATCTCAAATACTGACAAGCTACACAAGAGTTCTTGTTGCTGCTGCGGTTCAGCTTAGCTTCTTCAATCGCGACAGCACCAATTCCGCTTTGAAAGACGATCTAACACTCGGTTACTGGCGCTCATCTATCTGCAACCAGATTGTGCAATGCTTTGCTATCGTCACTACATGTCTTCCGTATACCAAGCTTTTCATGGAGGGGTTTGAGTCGGGACTCATGCGATTGGACGATCTGCGCCGTCGAGGAGAGCAAACCTCCAAAGACGACAGCAAAGGATACCAACTCATGGACATATCGCGATCGGGACGCTCCGAGAATTCCAGACCCTCATACAGCGGGCCGGATAGGAGCATCCAAGTATCGAAGAGTTGGGCAGTGCAAGTAGAACCAGTAGCCCGCATGCCGGCTACTACAATACTGCAGTAAATCTATATCTATAGTATGTAACACAGTCCAGAAAGCACAAACCAACACATGCAAAATTTGGCGCGGCATTTCACAGACGCACACCCTTGCTGTACCCTCGTTTCGCAGTGCAGGTGGCACGGCACGCAGCATATGCGCCTAGGTTTCTTCCAGCAGGTCTTCCGGATTGGGACAACTGGTGCTACAATCCTATTGGTGAACAGGCTATAGGTCAACGGTCAGGATCATTACGAGGATCATCTCGGCTACAATGTTGTGCATAGGCGGCCCTAGTTCTTCATCTATGCGGCTACTTGGTTCTAACGGCAACTCGGTTCTTTCTCTTTATCCTTCTGCTTGTTCTCTCTTTCATCTCCTCCATCATCGGTCGTCTCACGAGTTCCGCTTTTATTGCTGTATCGACTTTTCACTTGTACTCGTATTGGTGGCACGATGGCGTTCTCCTCGACGAAATCCAGTGAGCCGGAACTAAATACTACAAGGCCACGTTCTAGCGACAAGCACGATGATCTTGCGCTGGCGAGACTGGGGAAGAAAGCTGTGCTGAAGGCATGTATCCCTCTGCATTGATCACGAACATGGCTGATGCAAGTACAGCGTCGCTTCGGCTTCCTATCTATCCTAGGTTTCAGCTGCACCGTCTTGATCACCTGGGAAGGATCTCTTGTGTACGTCGTACTACCTCGTACTACACGTTGACACGTCGCTGACAGTTTCTCAGGTTGTTCCTGGTCGGCTTCCAGAAGTGAGTACACAGCATGACACAACACATCGACCATGAGACAGTTGTGCTGAAAGAAGCAGTGGCGGCCCCGCTGGTGTCATCTATGGCTACCTCATCGTATGGCTCGGCACCGTATCTGTGTTCATGGTGCTCAGCGAGCTTGTTTCAATGTGAGTTACGATCGGAAGCCAGGTCTTTTGACGCTGAGGCAATTGCTAACATTCATCAAAGGGCACCTACATCTGGTGGTCAATACCACTGGGTGTCTATGCTCGCACCAAAAAGCTCTCAAAAGCTGTTGAGTTACATCTCAGGTGTGTAAACTTTAAACTCGACGATCTATATCGATAGCGTGTACTAACGCGATTTCCCCGCAGGATGGCTCACTCTCTGTGGCTGGCTAGCATCACTCGGGTCCGGCGCTTTCCTCACCGGTGGCCTCATTCAAGGCCTTCTCATGCTCTGCCAACCGGATACGTACGTCCCTCAGAACTGGCACGTCACTCTCCTCTACTGGGCCATCATCGCGTTTTGCGTCTTTATCAACATCGCTGCTGGATGGCTGCTACCCAAATTCGAAGGAGCGCTATTGGTCCTGCATATCCTTGGTTTCTTCGCCATCTTGATTCCCTTGCTGGTTCTTGGGCCACAGGGCAATGCGAAAGAGACCTTTACCACGTTCGTAAACATGGGACATTGGCAGACTCAGGGATTGAGCTTTTGCATTGGCATTATGGGGAGTGTCTTTGCGTTTGTTGGCGGTGATGGGCCGATCCATGTGAGTGTCTTTCTACATACAATCACTTCTAGCATCTGGCTTCGCAGCAAGACACTAACACATCAGCACAGCTGTCTGAGGAGATTCAAAACGCACAGATCGTCGTACCTCGCTCCATCATGACTGGCATCGCCATCAACGGCTCTCTCGGCTTCGTCATGATGGTCACCGTGCTCTTACGGATGGGTGATCTCGACACTGTACTTCTAGAGAACCCTGCGTTCCCTTTTATGGCTATCTTTCACCGAGCCGTTCAATCACGCTCTGGTGCCGCTGTCATGGCATCCATCGTCATGGTGCTGACTATCAGTGCGAACGTGGGCTTCTCCGCTTCAACATCAAGAATTTGCTGGGCTTTTGCTAGAGACCGTGGTCTACCTGGATGGAGAACCTTGAGCAAGGTATGCATACTTTAAAGCCCTGCGTTTGAGAGAAAAGTAGTATTAACATCAAGCAGGTCAGCGATCGTACGTCCATCCCCGTCTACGCCGTAGCCTTTACAAGCTTCATCGCCTGCCTTCTCGCACTAGTAAACATCGGATCCACCACGGCCTTCAACGGCGTAATCTCCGTCGCTATCGCCGGCCTCTTCTCCTCCTACCTTCTCACATCCTCCCTCCTCCTCTACCGTCGCTGCACCGGCGCCATCCTCCCACCCAGCGAATCCTTCGACACAGACAGCCAGTCCATAACCAGCGACGGCATGGTCCGCGCTGTATGGGGCCCCTGGCGTCTTCCTGGTGCTATAGGCATCGCCAACAACGTCTTTGCATGCGCCTATCTTAGCTTTGTTTTCTTCTTCAGTTTCTGGCCTAGCTTTGCTGAGGTTACGCCTGCGAACATGAATTGGGCGATTTTGGTAACGGGTACGATAGCGGTCATCAGTGCGGTCTATTATGCGGTTTGGGCGAGGAACACGTATCATGGGCCTGTTGTTGAGATTGATGAGCGAGATTTGAGTGGGAGGGCCAGTGTCGTGGAGCAGCGTCTTGAGATGGGTAGTAAGTAGATGGGTTGAAATAGGTATACTTTGTCGTACGTGACTGGTAATTAGGGCATTCTGATAACAGAATAGAGTGTGTTTAGTCAGATGTCCAAGATCTCACAAAGAAATCGTTCTTGTCGTCCCTCTTCACGTAGGCGTCCCGCTATAGAGCAAGTTCCCCCAATTTATCATCCACAATCTCAACCCTCACACCATCCCCAAGTTCCTCCAAAAACGTCCTGCGTATCCCTTCCCTCTCCCTCTCCCCCACACCAGAAACATCCCTCAACACAACCAGCTTCAACCTCGGCAGCCCACAAAGCATGATGTACTCCCGGATCCACAACCATCTCCCCGTCGGATAATATTCATGGTCCGTAACAACCAACTCAATCTTGTTCCTCTGTCCAATCGTAAACCTGTGCAGCATGGAATGGAAACCCGCGAGTACCGTTGCGCCAAAGGTGTTGTGGATGAAGGGGTAGTAGGCTCCTAGGTCACATCGGATTTGGCGGCAGGTGAGTGGGAGGTTGATGGCTAGCTTCTTTGGGATGGGGTGCATTTCCCAGGTTTTTTGGTGGGGTGGGCGGCATCCTAGTCGCTTCTTCTTGTCGTTACTGGGAAGGGTTACGAGGTAGATTTCATGGCCGCCTAGGGCGTAGGAGTAGATTTGGTTTCGGATTTCGCTGGGGAGGCGGAGAAAGGGGGATGTGCGTTGGTTCTGTGTGGCGATGGCTTGGTGGGCCGCGGAGATGGGTTTTGAGGTTTTTGGTGACATGATGGTGGTTTTGAGATTGAGGAGAAAGTGGTATGGAGGAATGGGATTGAGATGTAAAGCAATATAAAGTCCTAAGAGCATGATCCATGGGTGGCCAGTCTCATACTTCTCGGAGTGAGTCAGTACCAAAGTACAACTACAAGATACCGAATGAACAGCTCTGTATTGGAACACAGGACTTGGATATCCATACCCAACAGCAGGCACAAGAAGCCCCACTTGTCTTCCCTCGGTACCAACGAGCACCTACCCTGCCCCATTTACATCCATCTTCCATCTTTTTCTCGGTCTGCTCGATATGGGCATCTCAGAACTTCCTCATAGCATCATTCACCAAATCCGCACCAAACGTCGCTCCAGCCCCATAAACCGCCGCATTCCCAAATTTGTGCGCTAGCTTACTCGCCCATTCGTGGTGCTATCTTCAGTCAGCTTCCCCAGCTTCCAAATGTCACTTGCAGAATTTTTTCCCTCTTCTCTTTCTTGTCTTTCAAACCCATAGTCTTGATGTGGCACGCGGAATTGAGTTTAGTAAAATATACCTTGGAAGGCATACCTTTGGATGATTCGGATTCGCCGGATGCGCCGGATCCTGAGCTTGTTGCGCGACGAGGGCGGGGTTGAACTGGTTTCCGCCGTCTACATACTTGGGATCGATGTATTGGGAAGGTTGGCCGTTTGGTTGCTGGTGCCCGTTAACATCTGCTCTTCGTCTCCATTCATAAACTCTCTTCTTCCACTTCTTGAGACCAATGATGAGACAAGCAGACAAGACAAAGGTAGGAAAGATAGAGCAGAAAGTATACGTACAGGTAACTGCGCCTGAATAGACTGCAATTGCGGCGGGGCCAAAACACCACTTGAGACGAGATACTCGAGTTCGGTTTTGATGGTACTAATGGAACGGTTGATCTGTGCTGCGTCTGGCATTTTGATGGTATACTTTCGTTCGAACGATTTTGAAATAAAATAGGACTGATCGATTGTAGGGAAAGCAGTAAAAAGAGTAGTAGTTCACTGCCAAGTCAATGCGTGTTGCTTGGCAGAAAGCTTGATTGAGATACGATCGAGGCGTCGATGGTGGGGGGTGGGGGATGTGCAAGTGACGTCAATATTCTAGACTGCTGGTTCCGTCCCAAGCCTACCTAGATACACACAGCACTTAAACCACACGAGATAGAGTTCAATGTATAACTTTCATTCAATAGCTTATGCTAGCGAGCATGATCTCGCATCTCTATACGATATACAATTCTATAGTCCTTCCCATCCAACAATATCGGAACAGGGTATTTTCTATGGACCTTTCTTTCGGGACGCCAATGACAAGAGATTTCGTAGCTATACACAACAAAAGTAGAGAGTAGGTCTTGTTTGATGGATAACCTTTCTTTCTTTTTACTCCTTCTTCGCTTCAGCGGGCTTCTCACCCTTGCCGGTAGGGTCATCCATCTTCAAGGCGCGCTCATCTTGTTCGGCACGCTCGGCGCTTCCACCGGCGGCGTCACCAGCACTAGCCTCGGCTTCTTTGCTCTCCTCTTCGGCCTTGGCTTCCTTTGCCTCCTGTGCGTCCCGGGCAGGCTTCTCGTCGATGTCCTCGTGGTCCTTGGGCGAGGCTGTGGCCTTGTTCTCAACGGTCTCGGTCTGCTCGTTCTCCTCGTTGATGAGTTCTTGCTGCTCCTTGAGGACCTCAAGACGCTGCTTGTTGGTTGCGGCACCTTCGGCGTTGCGGACCTCGAGATCCATTTCGTGGTACAGCTCCTCAGGGATACTGGAGAGGACGGCTTCCAAAGCATCAATTTGAGAGGTCATCTCGGTCTCCTTGCCCTGGGCGTAGACGAACGCGTTGGAGAGCACGAGAAGAGTTGATGGAACGCCGTGCTTCAGGCGGAGATCGAGCCAGCTAGTGAGGTCGTCCCGTAACCGGCCAGGAGAGACACCGTAGGTTCGTAGTCCGCGGCTGGCACAGGCAGTCTGGAGCTCGGGAACGGAGAGACTTTCAACACCTTCGTAGGCAATGGCTCGGTCGTCACGCTTGATCTGGCGCATGCGCACGCGGACCTGGTAGCGCAGGAAGTTGTCTGTACCGAAAGAGGTGATGTTCATGTAGCGGCAGATTGAAACCAGCTGAGGGCGAGACAAGTTGTCCAGGGTGAGGTCGTCCTTGAAAATCTTGCACACCTTGATGATCTCCTCTGGTGTTGGCTTCTCTCCCGTGGTGCGCACCTTGCGGAAGAATTCGGCAAACTCCTCTGTCTGCGCGTTCTCAGCAGAGACAGGCAGGCCAGTCTCCTTGAGTGTTTGACGAAGGAAGTCGCTAACATCCTTTCGGGTCGCTCGCAGCGTCTGGGCTTTGGTGTCCTTGGCCGACTGACCCTCGTACGTGCTGGGCAGCATGTTGGGGAAGAGCTTGAGCGCTACAGGGAGCAGCAGTTCGGCGAAGGGGACGATGACGAAGGGCAGGAAAGGTACCAAGCGGGCCAGATCCTGTACGGTACGTTGCAACTAGGTCTGTTAGTAAAATCCACAAATACTGGCTTCAAACACGTACTTGTCGACGCTCACGGCGGGTAAGCTCGTACCCAGCTGCCATCTTGAGAGCGAGTTTGGAGCTAATCCGGACCTCGAAACCCAGCAGCTTGGTGCCATCCCAGTAGTGGACCAATTCCTTCTTGACCTTTTGCCAGACGGTCAACTTCTTCTTCTCTGCGTCCCTTTTGGCCAGGATCTTCTTCTCGTCCTTGGACTCAGCAGCCGACTTGTCCATCTTCAGCTCGCTCAATGTTTGGACATCTTGCGCGGGTGTCTTGGGGTTGGAGGTTGCGCCAGACTTGGGGATGATGGGGTCTGACTTCTCGACGGACTGTTTTGATTGTTGCTGGGGCTTGAGGAGGTGCTGGTTGGCCTGCTTGGGGTCGAAACCAGGAGGCGGGTAGTTTTGCGCATTGTTCGATGTCGACTCAGTTTGGAGGGCGCGTAGCGGAATGAGGATGCGAATCGCGGGTGAGTTCCTCAGCATAGGGCGATGAGCTCTGGTAGTGGTCCTGATGCCCGCTCGGAATACTGCGGGCGCTGCCCTGGAGGCAGTGCGACCGGCGTACATTGCGCCGGGGGAAGTGTAGGGAGTGACGTATATAGTACAACGATTAAAGTAGTGTGGGTAGTGAATCAACAGATGAAGGGTAGAAAAGAGACGGCTGTGTGTGTGTTGGGAATTTGATGCAAGGAGTGTGGAGTGATGCAGCTCTGAGAAAATGGGTTCCTCTGACGTTGCGTCTTCGGACTTAGTCTCAGGGACCGCCGGGCGATCTGCTGGGTCAAGCTTGGTCGCCACCAACGGGCGCATAAGCCATTCGCCTGACGCGCATCATGGTGACAGCTAGGAAGATACCGGATGGACGCATGACATGTGCGCCATGGGACGCTACAGGCAGCAACATGTGTACCTCGGATTTATACGAAGAGAAGTTGAAGGACCAATGGGTATTCTCTGTGTCGGCATATTATCGCCAATTGGCCGAGGCGCTGGGGTCTCCGATGTCCGCAAGAACGACAGCGCGGCTTGCGAATGGCATGCCGTGAATGCTGGGCCGTCCCCTCACTCCACGCCTATCCGACGGTAATCGTCCCTCTGCCATCTTAACCCAGGTTCCGCGTCTGGGCACTCCATAATTCCTCCTGTCACTTCTCTCCGAACCCTAGTTCCGATCCTCCATTTCATTCCACACAATTTTCGCCATGGATTTGTTTTAGTAACTACGAGCCCTCGGCGGAGCCCTCGAGCTTTATTCACCGTACCGACCTGGACTATCCCCAGCAGCATATTCCTAGAGTCGCTTCTATAGCATAAATCAGCGACAACACACATTACAACAATGACTGTCCAACGGTTGTCCAAGGCCGCCAGGATCATACTGGTCGGCGCGCCTGGCGTCGGGAAGGGAACTCAGACGGAGCGCATGATGAAAAAATTCCCTGAGCTCTCGTCAATCAGCTCTGGCGATTTGCTGAGGAAGAATGTTCGGGAGCGGACACCTCTCGGTATGCGCGTTGCTCTCTCCGTACCGAAAAATGCTGACTTGCGCAGGCATACACGCCGAATCCACGATGAAGGCTGGCAAACTAGTACCCGACGCCATGATCCTGCGCCTCATCGTTAACGAACTCACGAACCGCGGTTGGATACGAGACAACGCTTTGCGGCCATATGCGCTCAACTTCAGCTCCATGGACGTGCCAGAGACGA